CAAAACACATGTAGAATCCAAGAAATCATCATATAGGTAAGCAAAATAGATTTTGTAGAGCATGGGTTACCTCATCCGCTTAACATCCAAAAACAACGCCAACTTAGGCAAGGCTCAACTCATAAGCCAAACGGGAACCTGTGAATCAAACCGGATTTCCAACTAATTAACAAGAGTTATTAAAACATTACTAGTTATACTCATAAGGGGAATTAAACCCTAGATTGTTCATTAATTACCCACAAGCTCAACCAACTAAACTAAGCATCTTATTATGAACTAATCACAATTATTAAACCACAAGCTAAGCTAAGTAACTAGGCATTAACAAGACTAATATTAAAACTAAGTTACTTAATCTTATGAGGTTTAAACCCTAACCAACAATCAACAATAACCACACATTTACCACTACACCACTTAACCACTTGTTAACTTTTATTAAACACAACTAATCTAATACCAAACTAAACAACAAAAACCAAGAAAGAAGCTCACCATCAGCCATCATCTTCTTCGTTTCTTCATGCAAAGCCGCGGGTGGAACACGGGTGTTGTCACCACCAGTGCCTATACTGCTTCATCGGAGCTTCCTAACACACTGGGAGAGGAGGAGAACACCGTCACAGCCAGAGGACGCCGGAGTGGAGAACCACCGTCGCTCCGCCGCCGTCGAACCGAGAAGCTTCGTACGCCGCCCACTTTGTTGCCGAGAACTCTGTTCCGCCGGTGTCACCATCCACAACTGCCTCTGCCCGACTTCCATCGTCCAAGAGAAAAGAGGGGACTGCCACTGCTCCGTCCACGCCGAGACTGTTCGCCGACCGGAGGAGCCAAGAGAGCACCACCGCTGTTTCTGCTGCTTTGCACGTCGAAGACTATCCTCACCAACTGCTTCGCACACTTATTTGCTAGAACAAAGGAGGGGTCGAGGCTTCACTGTACGCCGGAGGGACCACCCAATGCCGGAGACATCACCTTGACATCAAGATGTTGCCTTGATCGAAGAAGAACCACACGACGCTGCTGAGCTACTATTTCCGCTACTGTCTCGCCGGAAGAAAAGAACAAGATGAGAGATGACGGGGGCTGCTCTACTTGTGCGCTTGGTCTCGCCAACGTCGAGATGAAGAGGGAAAGAAAAACAGAGCATGAGATTGGTGGTGGATGCTCACACTGCTCTCTTTGATCGAAGGGAAAGATGAGAAGATGAATATGATGCGGCTGCAAGCTTAAGGATGGAATGGTGAAGTTGAGGCTGCAACTACCCGACATATTGCTCATGTGGGTATGAATATAGTAGGGTTACTATATTTAGGAGGTGGGCTAGGCTAGACTTGGGTTGGGTGATATAGCTTGGGCTTAAACAATTTGGGTTCACAAGGTAATAATACTTATATTTATACATACATATGGGTTCAACTTGTGAGGTTCAAGACTTATATAATATATAATAAATAATCACATTTTGGGCTTAGGATAACAAATAAACTTCTAGGCTAAAATTCCTTTTTGGGCTTAAGGCATTTTGGTCGTAAAATATTATTTTATACAATAAATAAACCCGAGCCCATTTTACAAAGTAATTAGGCATATATAAATATTTCTAAGAAAAATATTTACTACCGAGACTATAATTTATTTTTAGGAAAATACGGGGTGTCACAGTGTGTCCTGGTGATGCGTACCGAATTTGTGCATTGTTTTTTGGTGTGCATTTTTTAACATGGATGGTGTATATTTGTATAACTATTAGTGCGGTCGCACTGACCGCACGGGAAGACACCAACACGAATCCACAAATACACCCGAGTAAGGTTAATAATGCACCAATAACGAACATAAAACACACAACACTATGATTTGCCCTCTTCTGGTGCCCAGTGACGACTTTAGCCTTGCAGTTCGCATAGAGTGAGAACGTGCGCGAAAATATCAAAGAAGCCCTGACGAATGTGATTCATTGGATTTATCTAATCTAATGGCCTACAATTGACCGCACCGCGGCACCTAACAGCACCGCCGCACTTGAACCTTCCTTTATATATATATATATATATATATATATATATATATATATATATATATATATTAGTGCAAATAGGGATTTATTTTACGGAAAATAATCCCAACAAAACTAGTACGAAACTAGTACAAAGGAATTTAAGTTTTAGGAAAATTAATCCCACCATACTTGGTACAAAATCGATAAATTATTTATATTTATATATAATAAATAAAACGAGAATGGATTTTATAAAACAGAGGTTTTAACCCAACACAAGAAAGGAGAAGAAGGAGAAATCCGAGTTGTGTAATACTCACACTTTCCTTAAAACCGATTCGCTACTTCCCAAGGGTGGTAGGAGCGTTTAGCGTCAGTCTCCCAGGATAAAATGAATTAAGACTTTAGTGTTTGAGCACTCAAACCTAAAGTCTGGTGAACTAGAACAAAGGGCGAGCACTGCCTACACTTTACGGAAGTGTTGGCCGAATTTTCTTTGTAAGAACAATGATTTAGAGAGAGGAGGAGAAAAAACTCAAATTTCGATTGTTCAAAATCAGTACCTTAGAATTCTGCCCAACACCAAGTATTTATAGGAGATGGAGAAATAAATAGCATTATTCCACGGCATTAACATCTAGAGTTGGAAATATATACGAAAATTGCCAATTTGTGTGAGGTTGGTAGTGTGTTTTGCAATGATGTACTACGATCTTATTTTGCTAGGGATTTATGATTTGAGATTTGTGTGAAATGCTCTTGTTGTGGGTGATTTTGTGTTGCTCCTCATTCCTTCATGGCCACATTGAATGAGGTTGTTTGAGAGAGATTAGTTGATGAGAGATCATAACTAATCGTAGTCTTTGTCATCCACATTCCCCGCCCTTCGATCCGAGAGGACAAGGTCCGGGAAGGATCGTAAACAATGTGTTTGATTAAATGCCTAGGACAGGTGATTTTGGCCTAGAGAGTTAGGTGTCATGCCTCAACCTAGCATCTATCCACACGAGTCACGCAACTCACTTCCCCTTAAATCCCTTTACCATAAACTAGTACATGTGCGCAAAATACACCCTCCAACCTCCTACCTATCTCTTGGTTGATTCACAAACTAGTTTGCCTTTGTTCATCACCTTTGCTCTTATAACCTCGTATTTCCTATTTTGCATAGTGATAATCTTTTGTTTAAAGCTTTCTTTGAAGTAAACCTTGGCACTTTACGAACTCCAAGTTGTCATCCACGGGTGAACGACACTCGGGTTGGTTCTCACTCCCCATTTTACCGCATTTCCATCCACCTACGCGACTCTTTACACACCTACTCTTTTGGCAACGTTAAATAAAATGAGAACCGTAAGAAAAAACATGTGTCACCTGAAATATTGTATCCAATGTCTCAAGTTCGAATCTCATCATCAGCAATTTTACAAGGTAAATTTTGAAGAGGCCAAATTAATTAAATCAGATGAAGTATGGGCGCTGGTTTGGCCTTTAGGCGTCAATTGCAAAAGGAAATTGGGATGCAATTTCAGATGGGCGCCAATTGCTATGACAAGAAGATGAGATGCAATTTGAGTTGGGCGTTGATTTCAAATGGGATGCAATTTGAGTTGGGCGCCAATTGAATGTGGAAAATGGGATCCAATTTCGCATGGGATGCAATTTCATGATGGGATCTAATTTCATATGATGAGCAATTGAAATGCAATTATTTCAATTGGGATGCAATTTCAAATGGGATGAAGTATAGGCACCAATTACAAGTCAAAGAGCTGAAGTATGGGAAGCAATTTCGAAGCAAAGTGTCCTTACTAAAAATAGAAAAAGTCATAAAAAGGATTAAAAGTGTCTAAAAAAATACTAGTCTGGGATGTTAAATGGCAAAAACAATAGTCTGAGACTAAATTTTAAATTGCCACCAAATACAAGGGACCTCTGATGGAATTAACTCTTAGAAATACATAGAAAAATTCAAATCAAAAGTAGTATTTATTTAAACTATCATTTTTAGACCAACTATTTAGACTATCGATTTTACAAAGTTGCAAACATTTATTTTTGTGACAATTATAATGAATTTCCTATATTATCTTGTATTCATATACTTTGAGTTACATATTTAAATAAACAAATTAAATATTCAATTACATATGTATGAACTTTTTCTATTTAATTTTGCATTGATATACCCATATACTTTCAAATATTTATTTAAATATAAACATTGGGCATTAATCTATTCGCGCAATGCGCCTGTAGAAAAGCGCTCATATGTGGTCATGTCATTAGGTGTGGTCGTATCTGTGTCGTTGAATCAATTTAATATAACGGCAGTGGTAATTCTGAGGATGTTCGCGCATTTTGGTAAGTGGGGGTGTTATGGTAATTACAGTGGCCATTTATAGCGGGCGAGTTCCAGAATACATCAACAGTGTTGACAACATACACCAATAGTGTAATAAAACACACCACCGTGAAACACACCAATGATGTATTCCCGTACACCACTGTGAAACACACCAATGATGTATTCCCGTGTTATGATAATTACAGTGGCCATTTATAGCGGTCAAGTTCCAGAATACACCAACAATGTTGACAACATGCACCAATAGTGTAATAAAACACACAACAATGTGATTTTCCCTATTCCGTTGTTTTATGACGAGTTTACCCTTGCAGTTCGCTGGGTAGGAGAATGTGCGCGAAAATACTAGAAAAATCTTTAATTAATATAATTCATTGGATCTATCTAATCTAATGGTCTATAATTGACCATATGACCACACCTAACAACATGGCCACATGTGATCACCCCTCTCTCTCTATATATATATATAGCTCCAAAACACCGTTGTTTTGGGCGGTACTTTTACTAAAATGTAATAGACCGAAAGTTTGTTGAGATTAACTGGAGGGAATGGGGAGAGTGATTTGCAGGAGAAGAATGGGGGAGAATTGCAAAATATAAAAAAATTTAGATTGCAGAGAAATAGGAGGGAGAAAAGGAATAACTTTCATTAAAACTCAGCATGATAATCCAAACACTGCCTACAACTTCAAATATCAAATCCCTGTCAGTCCTATGCAAGCAGACAAAGCTGGTTTTATTCTTTGATCCAAAAACGCCATTTTGGCGCCCATTCTCTTTGGTTGCCAATCTTCTGCTATTTCGCTTAGGTCCTTCTCTGCTGAATTTAATCCATTCACCTGCTTCTGTTTCTGCTTAATGACATTTACTTCCCTTTGTCATCATCAAGGCAGGAAAGCAACTAATTAGGATGGGGTTGTTTCCACTTTGTTTTTAGTTTCATTTCATCACAACAGAAGTAGCAATATGCCTAGTTATTATGTACATTTAAAAAAAAAAATACACGCAACTCTACTTTCTACACACATAATTATACAAATGCACTAAGCACCTTAGTGTTTAGTTGACACTTCTGTGCCTCTCCTTGAGGAAAGGTCACAGGATCGAATCCCCAGGAGTGGGGTATTGACTTTTTAAGCTACAACAGATGAAAATGTTGGTCAATGGACCGGAAACAAGACTGCAAAGATCAAACAGAAATGTTGATCCATGTAAAAATGAAATTTGAATTCTTACTTTATTCTCTCATTCTTCTCCAATGGAATTATAATTCTTTTCCTCCTTAATTCCTTCCTTGCAACCAAACACCCCCTAAAGGTTTAAATTACTTTGAGCACAGGCATACAAAGCATCAATGGTAGAATAAAGTAAAAAGCAAAAAAGACAAAAAAGAAAAAAAAAAAAAAAAAAAAAAAAAATAGCACTATTTCATTAATGTGATCCTCAACAGGAAAATTTAGCAAAGATATTTAGGTGATCCATACTAGAAACAAATCCAACTCAACCCTCAATAAAGCATCTTGTAGATATAACAGCTCTAATGAAGAATGCCCCTGCTTTACTTTGACAGATGCAATATAAATTATATCCTTACCGATAAAGTTGGAGGAGTGTCATGCAACAGGAATTTTGGGTTCTCCTAAGTTCACAAATGCCTGTGCGCGAGCCATGCGTACCAATGCAGATTGCCAAGAAACAAGGTGATTCATGAACATGTTAACATACTTGGCTTTATCATTCTGTAAAAAAGAGGAGGAATTTAGACAATGACTGAAGATAAACAATAGAATGAAGAGTCAGAGATATATAATACTTGTGAGTTGTTACCTGGTAATCAATATAATAAGCGTGCTGCAAAGCAGAAAAAGATAGGTTATCATCAGCATGTATCATGTCTGTGTGTGCAAGCAAATAGTGCTGTGTGTGTGTGTGTGTGTGTTTAAATGTTTAACTAAAAGGGAGGAACAGTGAAAAAGGGGTAAAAGTAGGTGACGATGAACATACTTCCCACATATCCAAACAGATGAGAGGCTGGAAAATTAAGAGAAGTCAAATTAACATCAAGAGAAGTTTATCAAATATTTTTAATGCTTGTAATACAGATGAGATCCGCAAAAAGTCCTCACAATGTCATTCCACAAAAGAGGGTTGACAGCATTTGATGTTCTAACAACAGCAAGACGTTTCTCCTCACTCTTCACTGAAAAATAACAAATCAATCAGAAGACATGAAGCACACATCAAACAAATATACAAGTTAGAAGACATATGAAGCTATGAGCAATTTGTCCATTGAGACACTAAGCGGGTGTTCGGTTTGCTGGAAACATTTTCCAAGGAACTAGAATTTCTAAAATTTGAGGAAAACTCTGTTATGCTTTGTTTGGTTGAGGAAAATATTTTCTTAACTCGGTATTTTATTTTCAATAGCATTTGGGAACAAATGTTCACTTAGCAAGACAAAACTACCCTCATATGACCTGATTGTATTGAGCATAGTTTGGAGATGCAAGTTATCAAATAATGCTTATTTAAATATTGCTATAATATTTATTACATTAAATATATAATTATAATATTTAAATTTAAATTTTTTATTTTATAATGTTTTAATATTTTAATTTATAAATTACTATTACTTAAATTATCATTATTATTGTGTAGGGACATGTACTTTATACTCATTATTCCTTACAATTCCAAACCCAACCAAACAATAGAATCAACATTTCATTCTCAATTATTTTCCACGGACCAAATAGGCTGTAATGACTACAATTGAGACTATAAAAGCATGTATCCTTTCTCCATTGATGTGATGACCACAAACAAGAATACAGGGCATTTTCCCAATGCAGACACTTTGTATATTCATATGCCATTTTACCTCAAGAAATCTATCAAAGAGCTGAAATGATTTCGATTCTTCAAATTCATTATATCTTTGATTTCCAAATTTTGATAAGGCACCTATATAAACCTATACATACACCAGACAAAAAGTTTGACAAAGAAATTTTCAGTGACTTTCAGATTGGTAAAAATGATACCAGTCATTTATGCTCCTAATGATGCTCTCAGGAAACGTACTTGATACGTTGAAAATATAATTGAAGAAATGGTTGACCTTCATATCCTCATTTATTTTAATTACTTTTAACTGAATGAATATTAGGACAAGGTAAATAAATGTTTAGCCATGAGGCACTCTAATTGCAATGGATAATCAGCCCATCTATGGCACATTACTGGTTTGGTTCAGAATGGAGGCTATTACTAGTAAAGTAGACTTGTAATAACAGCTTAAGAAAATGTCAAAAGCCCACTTGTAGAGAACTTACAAACAAGCCAAACCCAACCAGAGCCAAATGATGTGAGGGCTACTTCTACGAACTTCTCTCTGAAATTTGTGAATGAGCCAAAATCCTTTTCAATCTGCTTTAGTAGGCTCAATGTAGGCATGTCCCCTCCTCCAGGTTGCATGGATTCCCAAAAGAAATCATGATTCCATACCTATAAAAGCATAAGGCTTCCATAAGTAGTGCAATAGCTAAATAAGCTTCATAAGAGACTGAAGCATCAGCAGCTGAGAGGGAAGTAAAGTTCACTTTTTTTCACTTGGCTCGATTTGGTGACACAACTCAGAAAGATATCTCAATAGGCATTCTGTAGATAGCCCTACCATAATTCAAGTAAGCAAATTCTGAATGCAATGTTCATAAAATTTCAATATAGCGTCTGTCACCTACAGGAGTATTGTAATTTCATTACTATTTTGCTCTTGTTATTATTATTATTACATTATTATTATACAAGGACATTTTAGTCTTTATTCACTTCTTCCGACTCAATTCCAGCCATTCTATTCCTGCATACCAAACAGTGTAATTTGAATTCCCAACTTATTCTCTTCCCACCGGAATTACAATTCCTTTCCCCCTTAATTCCCTCCTTCCAACCAAACGCCCTGACATGTTGATTGAAAACTAAAAACAAGTGCAACATGGCATTTGTAATCTGTATGGATACACTAGACTCTAAAACTTGCCAACCATGTAAATGTAAATGTAATGAAGTGACGAGAGGTGAGAATGACAGACCCCACGTACCTGAGCAGCATTGTTGAATTCAGGTAATGGATTACCATTGTTATAGGTCACTCTAATAAGTTCTTCCATGGTGAATCCATACAGTAAATCATTCTTCTCAAGCTGTTTGTTAAGGGCATCCACATAACTACGATGGTGCCCACCCCAGTGTATCTCTAGTGTCCTTCGGCTCATGTATGGCTCTAATGCATCCTACAAGTGCAAATTGCATAATAAAAAATTAACAGAAATAAATAAAGAAATGTAGCAGGTAAGCTAAAGAACTGAATCCTCTAAATCTGAACAACCAAGATTGAAAAGCTAAAAATCACGGAAGCCTGGCCTCACAAGTTCAAACGGAGGTGCTTTGAGGCCGTAATAGGCACAAACTTTCCCTGCAGGGTAGCGATTATGACTTCTTCTGTCGCGCTTCTTCAAGCCCTACATTCAAGATACCAGCAGAATTCAGAAATTAGAAATGCTGAGAAGCAGGACACAGGAATGAACGTACGATATAAGAAATTTTGCCCCAGCTCTTTAATTGCTTCAATGGCGCATTGGAAGTGTCAAGAATCATAGAGCTTGAAGTAGTAGTAGAAAGGGAACACCAACTCATGTCTCTCCCTTGACGCTTAAAAATAGAAGATATTTCTGCAGAAAAAACAGAAGAAACAACATTATATTTTGTGTGAATATGAACATATATATGATAATGAAAACATAACTTGCCTGGAACTGGATCTTTCAAAGCTTTCTTCTTTTTGCTTGTAAAGCGATAACGGGGAGGCAACTTTAGTCTTTAGGCAAGGCCGCGAGGGCAGGGCGTGTCTGATATCCCAAGCTGATGTTGGGCCTTCCATAATAAATGTAAAATGTGTAATCAATGTAGATGAAGGAGATTCACAATCCAATCCACTTTAAATATTAAACAAAGGGAAAATGACACATTCCCCTTGAGTTATATACTTATAGCACTTTTTTCTCCTGAATTATTCAAGTGATTGTTTTTCTCCCTAAAATGTTAAATAGGCATATTTACCTTTAAAATAAATATTTCATTTATTTTTCTTTTTCAACAAATTATGACCACAATTTGGTTCAAACCAAACAGACACTATAGCAACCAAACCGAAATATTCTAATTACAATTTAGAATCGAAACCCGATATTTAGAGTTTATTAAAATCACGAACCAGGACAGTCGGTTCATGTTCCGAACTGAAAAAAAAAATAAAATACATTTATTGTTGAATTTAGACTATTTTAAAATAAAAAAAAATAAAATAAAATTTTAAAATAAAGACGGTTCAAAATTGCAAACTGGATTCGGAACCGCCAGTTCACGGTTCAAGATCCAGTTTTTTCGATTCATAATTTTAATAAACTAAAATCCAAATATTGGATTCTGGATCTGAATCATAACCGGAAACTTTTAATTCGATTGATATAGTGTCCAGTTCAATTCGAATCAAACCGTAGTCATCCCTACGTATATGCAATAATTTGTTGGAGAAGAAAAATAAATAAAATGTTTACTTTAAGGGTAGAAATGTCAATTTAATATATCAAGGGGGGAAACAGTCACTTTTAAAATAATTGAGGGGGCTAATGTGCTTACATGAATAATTCAGGGGGAAAAAGTTCTATAAGTATATAACTCATGGAGAAAAAATGTCATTTTCCCTTAAACAAATTAGTGATTAACTAATGGATAAAGTACAAATAAGCCATCCAACTATTTTAATTAAGTCACTTAATTCAAATAAACTCTAAATTCATCTATGAACTTAGAAAAAGTTACAATTACTTTTTTTTTAGCGGGTAACTTTCTGGATCTTGCTTAGAGCATCCACATTAGTTGGGAAGATTTGGGAGATAATGTAAGAGTGATTAGGAGAGAGAATGTGAAAAGGGGAGCAAAAAAAAAAAACCAAAATTGATTTTTAAAACAAAAAAAAAAAAATTAAAGAATTCAGTCGCGTCAGGCGCGCCAGTCGGCGCGCCTGACGCGCCTCCGGGCGCGTGCACTGCACGCGCCCGGCCTTTCTCCTCAGTTCCGCGATACGCGTGGAACTGCGGTGTTTCTTTTCTTTTCTTTTTTTTTTTCTGCCATTCTCCCCTCCTTTGTAGGAGGATTATTTTCTCCATTCTCTCCTTCTCCCATCTGTTAAGCTGCATATTTGTGTACTATTATCTCCATATTATCCTCTGATGAGGATGCTCTTATTAGGACTGACAGGTGTATTTAAATAAATAAAAATTTGTCCACCTAGATAAAGTCATTTACCCAATCCTAAAGACAGCCTCAATAGTTGCAAATTTTAAGGAGATTTTGCAGGTGTTATTAGGAAAGAAAAAATGGAAGAAAATAAAAAAAAAAAAAAAAAAAAACAAAACAAAAAAAAAAAAACAAAAACAAAAACAAACAAAAAAAACAAAAATTTGGAAAAAAACAAAAAAAACAAAAAAAAAAAATTTAAATTACGTATTGCACACGCCCGCCTGGGCGCAACTCTCCATTTTGTTTGGGGACCACAATGCCTACCAAAGTCTCTATTTTGCAGGAAGAAAATTTTCACAAAATCTTATATTTCCATCTGTTAAAACTTAACCCAAAATTTGACAAAGAACCCCTTTTGGGGATGCCCTAATAAGCGTTCATTTTCTTGCTCTCCCGTCGCTACTTCCACCACCGACACTAACGGAGTGCAACCACCATCGTTGCTCTAGGTAAGAATGTCAAGACTCAAGCCGTCGCGAACCCTCTTAATATTAACAAGAACATGGCAAGCATCATATCCACTTCTACGACCTCGTCATCGCAGACCCATCTCTCGCTGGTGGCATCGAGGATCTGAAGCTTGCCCCCGAAGTTCCTACCAGCGCCACCACTTCTGGTGGCGTCACTGCCAATTTGTCTTGCAAGAAGGCTACCCCTCCCCAACTTGCCAAGAAGTTAGTTATTAAGCTTTTTTAATTCTTAAGCTTCCATTTTCTAGATTTTTTTGTCCCTGGGACATTTTTTAATTTCTTGATTCTTTTGTATCATGTGCTTACGTCCTACTTTTAGTACAAATAATGGATAGGAAATAGAGGGAGAAGAGAAAGAAAAAGAAGAAAAATATGAGTGGTTTGATGTTGTAGACTTTTGTTTTAGCATCTAGGTTTAATTTGGTCTAAGTGTGGCATAACTCCCCTCAGTTTGGTTTTTGCTTCCGTCTTTGGGGTTAGTTCGCCCATCTTGCTAGTAGTAGAGCTCATTTGCTCCTTCTCTATTAGTATAGTTCATGGCAATAAGAGCTTTCGACCATACACCTCTTGACTTATGCTCCAACTAGTCTTTTTCTAGCTTTGCTACTTACCTTTGTTACTCATTGTGCACTAAATTAATTTAAGCTCAATTCCCGCTCTATGCTTCTTACCAAAATTAATTCTTCAAGACTTGGTAAATTTTGCTTGAATCCCCAGTATATTTGTGCTTGCATATACGGACAAATACTAGACTCAAACAAAATAAAATTGGGGAATTCTAATTTTTCAAAAGAGTTAATGCCATATGAGGTCCTCTGAGTTTGATGGTTTTGCCATGTTTAGTCCTAAACTTTTAAATTAGTTGTTAAGGATATCTGTGGCTGATATATTTTGTATATGATTAAATCTAGTTGCATTCCTTTTATGTAGCATTGTTAGACTGGTTGTTACAACAACCTGCAGCTAACTACTCACTATCTTCTCTCCCTTGTATGCTATTTAAAGCTGATTGTTTTACATCAATAATATCAGTCAAGTTCATAATCTATTATGGTATCAAGAGCCTAATTTCTCCTACGAAGTTTTTTTCTCCTTCCCCTTCCAAATGGCTTCCGCTACTACAACCACAATAATCCAATTAAATGCCCCAACACACTTCCCAATTAAACTCACAACCGTGAATTTCCCGGTGTGGCGGCGTCAAATTCATGCCACACTTGTTGGGTTTAATCTCTTTGGCTATGTTGATGGTACAACCAAAGAACCAGCCAAATTCACTGATCCTGCTCAAACTTCTGTCAACCCAGCTCATTTAGCTTGGTATCGTCAAGACCAAGTTATTGTTAGTGCTCTACTTGGGAGCTGTCTGACACCATACAACCCTTATCTCCTCGGCTACGACAGCCTATGATGTGTGGCAATGTCTTGTTGCTAGTTACGCCAGTGCCTCACGAGGACGTATCATATCCCTCAAGGCCAAACTCACGAGGAACCCGCGAGGTTCTCGGTCCATCACCACTTATCTCAATGACATGTGAGCCATAGCTGATAATTTAGCGTTGGCTCAGTGTCCCGTACCTGACGAAGATCTAATCGTCTATGTATTGACTCAGCTAGGCGAGGATTACAGTTCCATCACATCGGCCATCTGCGTTCGTGAGAAGCCTCTTTCTTTTGGCGAGTTGGCAGATGTGCTGACTGACCATGAACGCCAATTGACAGACGCAGATGCTTTGCGTCAGTCCTTTTTTACTACTAATGTTACTCAACGCACCTCGTCACCTCCGCGGCGCAACCACCAGTCCAACACCAACCGGAGGGCCCGCAACAATAACAATCATTATGGCTCCAATCGTCAACAAGGGGAACACAATCGCTCAGGTATCGTCTGTAAGTTTTGTTATCATACGGGTCATGAAACAAGGGTGTGTCGCAAGCTAGCCCGATTTTAAAAGGAGCATGATGTTCCTCATGTGCAATCCTATGTATCTCCTACAGCCAATTCAATGACTTGGGCTTCTCCTCCCTGGATGTTTGATAGTGGGGCGTCGCATCATGTGACACCAAGTCTCGCTCCTCTGTAGACTTTCGCCGAGTATAGTGGATCGGATGAAATACGCCTGGGTGACGATAATTCCTTACAAATATCCCATATTGGCCAATCTGTAATTCCCGCTCCTTCTAATGTTCTCACTCTAGATATTGTCTTGCGTGTCCCACAGTTACACACTAATTTAGTTTCTATTTCCCAGTTATGCAAGACTAATCGTGTGTCTGTTGAATTTTTTGATTCTCATTTTCTGGTCAAGGAACTTCGAACAGGGATTCCTCTGCTACGAGGAGTGAACATTACACTACAAAAAAACACGAATATAGCGACGGACATGTTCCGTTGCTAACCTAGCGACGGATTAGCGACAAATTAGTGACATATTTTAATTTTTTTTGTTAAATGAAACTCTAGCAACGGCCTAGTGACGGATTTTGCGACGGAAAAGTCCCGTCGTTAAATACGTAGCTAATTTTAGCGGCAAATTTTGGTGCGAATAATAGAGATAGATTAGCGACGGAATTTTCGCGGGCTTACTTGATTATTTTAATTGCTACAACCTCGCGACGGATATGGAATCCATTCCGTCGCTAGATATTACAACATCAATGTGATTTTTGTTTATATTGTAGCGACAGATATACATATCTGTAGCTATCTAGCGACGGATTTATATTTCCGTAGCTATTTAGCGACGGATATGTATATCCGTCGCTAGATTTAGGACGCGCGAATTTCGTAAAACTTTATAACGACGGAAGTTGATGTCCGTCGCTAAGTTTTGTTAAGGATTTTAACATTTATAAGCTAGCGACGGATATGTTTCCGTCGCTAAGCTTATTCAGTGGATTTTAACATACATAAGCTAGCTACGGATCATATTCCGTCGCTAAGCTATTGGATTTTAACATATATAAGCTAGCAACGGATCAGATTCCGTCGCTAAGCTTATTCAGTGGATTTAACATAGATAAGTTAGCGACGAATCACATTCCGTAGCTAGTATTAGTTATCGGTATCATATATATAATATAGAGAC